CCGCCTGCGCCTCGCGTGCGCGCCCGGGGATCCGCGGCACACGCCGCACACCCGCCCCCGCCCGCCCAGTCCTCCTATTGGGCCCCGCAACAAGGGACGCTCTCCCAGCTCTCGGGTTTGCTCCTTGTTTTGTTCTCCTGTCGAGTCTCTGGTCGGTTGGGCAGTGTAAGTGTGGCTGGGGGTGATTGTTGAGGCCTTGTGTCCCGCCGGCCCATGGTAGGTTTTGTGAGGCTGCTGACACCACCCCCCCGCATCCCTGTCGCTCTCCGCCCGCTGGTTGTGAAGTTGGGAGGCCCGACCCCGCGGATGGTGGGGAGTTTCCGTGCAGCCAGAGCACTAGGCCTGGGCGGCCTGGCGCGCCTCGCGGCCGGTGGATGGGAAGGTGCACGCACACAGTTGCGTGGGCTGGGCTTGTGGGGACGGAGATTCGTCCCCAGCGCTCCGCTCTACGTCGTGTCCCTGGGGAAAGGCGGGCTGCCCCAGTTTACTGAAGGTCACCTCTGCACCTCCGCTTCCTCTGACAAAAGGTCCTTTAGGACCATAGGTTGCTGTCGACCGGGAAGACGTTTGGAGACTGTGATGTTGGGGGAGGGGGCGTCTAGGGCTGAGGCCAAGATTGGGGGACCCGGGAGTGGGCCTAGTGTTTTTTTTTTTTTTTTTAAGTCAGTGTGTGCTTTAAGAATCAGATTGCGAATATTTTGTGCCTAGTAGGAAGCTTTCTTTTCTGCTTGTTACGTGGCATCTGGGAAATGTCAGCACACTCTTTGACCACCCGACTCCTGATGCCTTGGGTCATATTTATCTTAATTCAATTTTTGTTTCTCCTTGAATTTAAGGAACCTAGGAGGCTAATCAGTATGGCTGCTCTCTGCCAGTGGCCGAGCTAATTGATTTGAATCCTGGCCCAATACTTTCTGCTGCCCTTTGATGTAAAAGCTTGTGGGGCTTATGGAATTCTGGGAAAATGGGGAGTGTTGTTTTTATTAAAAACACAAACTATCTCTAATAAGTGTTTGCGAGGGGGCTACTCTCTTTTCTTGAATATTTTTTTTCTCTGAAATTGATTATGATGGTATCTGTTGAGCCTCTACTAGTGTTACACACTGTGCTTACGTTTATCATCGAATCTCTAAAATTCCATGTGAGTCTTCATGAAAATGATGGGAACATACAAAGGAGTGAAGTCTCTCTCTCTTTAGCCCAGTGGAGTGCAAGCCACTTGATTTAAAGCCTGAGTTGGCTTCCCATGTTGATAATTGTAATGCTTGTTGCGTTCTGATTAAATATGTATTAGACCTCTGCTAGAGGTTTATATTTATCATTGACTCCTTGAAATTAGACATAGGTCTTCAGGTAAATAGTGGGATGGTACAAAGAAATCTCTTTCCTTAGCCCAGCAGAGTGCAAGTCTTAAAACGTGAGTTGTCTTCCCTGGTTATGGTTGTAGCGCTTGTTGGAATCTTATTAAATTCCAGTTTTTGCTTAGTCTTGTAAAATAGAGTTTTTTAGGTATGTCTCAGGATCCTATTACCTCACGTTGCTGCTATTGCCTTTTATGATCTTTCCCTTATGCAGTTGGGCTGACATAACCAGTTAATGGATGAATCTTTCCTAGCTTCCTGCTGTCTTGTTGATTTACCCACTCCTAAATGTCTTTTATTAACTCCCCTTTGCCTGCCAGGTTAAGGACACACACTGAGCTTAACTCTCAAGTCCCTCTGCTGTGCGGTTCGGAGTTCCCTTTGCCAGCTCATCTTCTTTGGCTCCTAATTTTACCCTACAGCTTAGCCAAATGGGATTATTGCTGTTTTGCAAATGGGCTTTTGTTCACGCTACTTCTTCCCCTCACCTCTCAAACTGGAATGCCCTGTCCTTTATATATTGATGTCAGAATTCTAGCCTTACTTCAAGGCCCATCTCATATCATGTCTTAATTCTTCTGTTAGTGCTCTGTTTTGAATTCCTATACTAGCTTGTATCTTAATTATAGCACTTAAAGCATCTTGTCTTGTATGCTTGTCTTAGTCCAGATGGTTAAGCTTTTCGAGATGAGGGCCTAATATGGCCCACTCTAATTAGGAGACACTCACATATTTGTCAAATTGAAGGGACCTCTCTTGTCTTGCCTTAACTAAAAAACTATTATTAGGTGTAATTTGGGACTGATGGGTTTAAAAACAAGCCCTGAATTAAATTTATGTCCTGCCAAACTTTTAGGATATACCTGCTTGTTGCTTTGGGATGTACAGTTTAAGCCAAAACAGGGTGAGTTAGGTTTGTGAAATTTACTTCTTGCCTCTGAAATAGTAACTTCCCCTAAGAATAACATCCAGAGCGTTACTTTGTAGAAATAAACATTTTCTAAGTAGGTCGTCAAAGAGATATTTTTACTGTCTTCATTTCTCTTGGAAGGAGTCTAAAACGACCTACCTGGAAGACCTTCCACCTCTCCCTGAGTATGAAGTGGCTCCGTCCAAGTTAGGGCAGGAAGTGGATGATGTTTATCTCATTCGAGCTCAAGGTTTACCGTGGTCGTGCACTGTAGAAGATGTGCTTCACTTTTTCTCAGGTATAGTTTATGTATGTTTTAAATATGTAATTTTGTCTGAGTAGAAGGTAGTGCCACAAACTCCAAGTTAAGCCATGCTGTAGACATCTTATTTGATGCTTGGGAATTGTCTTATTCTTGCTGGTTACCTGTGCATACCAAGTGCACCATGTGTACCATTTGTGATATATACCTGGTTTAAAAACTTTGAATGCAACAAAAAAATTAACGTTAAAACTACATGGTATGAAAGCAGTTTCTCTGAAGTTTCAATATATACGTATCAAAAAGCCAAACTTGTTAGTGGAAATATGTTAGTGAGAATATAGGCTAAGAGTAGCTCTTTATGAATACATACGTTTAGAATACAAGATCACTTGATATCAAGTAGTATAGTTCCCTTAACATGTTTGGAAGGTTTACACATCTGTGGTTAGTTTTTAAGTTTCTGTATCTGGCTATGATTTTTAATTTTCCTCTTAAGAGGCTTTTAGAAGATGCTACCTTAAATGTTGTAATACGATGTAAAAATGTATTAAGTACCTTAGTGTGCATAACATTGTATGGGTCAAGCATTTTATAAAGCCACTTATGTCTTCAGCTTGCTCCCATTATAAGAAGTATGCACTATAGGGATGCCTTTCCTTGGTAATGAAAAGGGGGAAAAGTTAAATTATGGTAGCAAAATTATTCTTATAGGCAATATTTTAGATTTCTTATGATTATGATTGTAACAAAAGACACTTATGCATAAACCTAACCATATTTAAATTCCTCAAGTGATTTGAAACTGATTGTAGAAGCATCGGGAAGGATATAATACATTTTGTGTTGTCTAGTTTGATTTGCCATTTAATGATCAGGAGATCATAAGCTTATGTGCTAAGGTTTGCTTCTGTTTTTCACGTGGAACATTTTAGAGACTACCACCTTGTTAGTGTTTGGATGGCTTCAATTGATGGGGGCTTGTGTAAGGAACATGACAGGCATTTTGGTTCCTGCTTTGTTGTTGGAAGATTGCATTCTAGTGACTTGTATAATTGAGCTAAAAGTTTGATTTCTGGTTTTAATTGATTTTACTCACATACTTTTAGACTGCAGAATCCGCAATGGTGAGAATGGAATACACTTCCTCTTAAATAGAGATGGGAAGCGAAGAGGTGATGCCTTAATTGAAATGGAGTCAGAGCAGGATGTGCAAAAAGCCTTAGAAAAGCACCGCATGTACATGGGGCAGCGGTACGTGGAAGGTATGTGAAGGCACGTTCTGGCTTTTCCGGATCATTACATTAGACTTTTATACTTTCCAAGGCAGTTTCATTTGATCCTTAACAGTAGTGAAGTAGTTAGATATTATGAATACACCCTTTTACAGGGTGTGAAAATGAAGCACAGAGATAATCTCAGTTTCTTATCTATAAAATGAGGCTGTTGACCAAGTTTACCTCACAAGTTGTGATGTTTAAGTGAGTTACACCTGGCACATAGTAAATGTTCAATAAATGTCTTTCGTTATTTTCTGCAGAAAAGTACATAAGGATTAAATATGCTAGTTTTTAAATTCTTGGATAACCCAAGTGTGATTTTTTTTAAAAATGGCTTGTTTGTTATGTAAGTTTTGCATATCTTTTGTGCTTTTTCTTTGTAGTATATGAGATAAATAATGAAGATGTGGATGCCTTAATGAAGAGCCTGCAGGTCAAATCTTCACCTGTGGTAAATGATGGCGTGGTCCGTTTGAGAGGCCTTCCTTATAGTTGCAATGAGAAAGACATTGTAGACTTCTTTGAAGGTGCTTTTCAGTTATATCATGTTTGGGGCCTCATATGTTTTTTTCTCCATTGTTGTCTTCTATATCTTAGGTGACGCTTTTCCTAGGTAACTACATGTAGTTATGTTAGGATCTTTAGGGGAGAACTTGTCGCTCGGATTTCCAATATTATAGATTATATAAATGTTTTGACCTATCACACTGATCTTTGGGGGACATCAGATTTCAGAATGATTTCATGTGGGTTTATTTTACTGTTGAGGAAGATATCCTCTCATAAGAGTGGCTGTATTTGTCTAAGACAATAGCAATTATATGATTGAAAAGCATTATCATCTAATTCTTAGCTGTAAAATATGCACCATTAGTAGCGATGTTAGTCTAAGTCTCTGTTTCCCCTACTATATAATTAATGGCAAAAAAAGAGAGAGTTGTGTGTTTTAGATGGACTGCTTGGATTCTAAACATTCTGGAAATATAGATGTGTAGGTGTTACTAGCTTTTGGCTGCATAATAATTTTGTTCCCGTCAGGCATGTATCCAGCTTTCAGACTGGCAAAACAGCTCCCAAATTTTACTAACGAAATAAAAAAAATTACTAGTATGTGAGTGAATGTGTTAATTTTAAGGATAAAAAAGCTCCTGTTAGCAGCACTAATTTATAATAATTTTTTGGTATCCTAGGACTGAATATAGTAGACATTACTTTTGTCATGGACTACAGAGGGAGAAGAAAAACAGGAGAAGCCTATGTGCAGTTTGAAGAACCAGAAATGGCCAACCAAGCCCTGTTGAAACACAGGGAAGAGATCGGTAACCGGTGAGTGAAACAGATACTAAGGATGCGGAAGTATCAGGCATTGGGTCATTTTAATGAATACACTGTAATATGACTGTACGTAAAATTATCTAAACACAGAAAAGTAGAATAGTTTGAGCTGTCAAATGCCCATCACTTAGATTAACAAATTATTAACATTTGTTATATTTGCTGCATCTGTTTTCTCACTATGCATCTTTAAAAAACATTTTGTTCCATGATCCCAATATTATCACATCTAACAAAATTAGCAATAATTTATTATCTAATGCCACTCCAAAATCACTTTTTCCCAATTATACCAAAAATGTCTTTTTACAGTTTTTTTTTTTTTTTTGGGTACCAGAATCTAGAGATGGTCCACACATTGCATTTGATTGTTATGTCTCCAGTTCTCTTAAATTAGAGAAAGTCCTCTCCTTTATTTTTTTATTCCCTCCTCCTTTTTACATGCAATTCACTTGTGAAGGAATTGGGTCAGTTGTCCTGTACAGCGTCTCATGTTCTGTGTTTATCTTATTACTTCCTCATAGTGTCATTTAACTTGTTGCTTTGTATTCTCTATTATTTCCTGAAAACTGGAAGGTAGAGCTAAAGTCTTGAATTGGTTCAGGTTAACATTTTATATGGATACTTTATAGGTGATGCTGTATACTGCATATCACATCCCATGAGGATGCACATAGAGGTGGGTGGGTTCATTTGTGTTTTAACTTTAACTTTGGAGGAGTGGAGTACTCAAGTGTCACTTTTAAGTTACTGTTTTGCTGCTTTCTGGCCTTTTTACTCGATTCCTTTAAAGTTTAAAATAAACGAAAAGTCATCCCAAAGCCATTTTATTTCAGGATCTACTTATAGAATTAGTTCAAAGGTCTTTATTAAATTTTTTTTGATGAAAAATGTATATGCAGAGCACTGCCCTTTCCCCATTTTCTTTCAACACTCTTCATATTTTCTTATAATGTATCTTGGAACACATCAGTGTTATGTTTTTATGTGGGACGTTGAAGCAGTGTGCACATCTTCAATAAATTAAGAAGTGGTGCCCATCTAATCTTTATAGGTCTGTAAATACAAATTTTTACAGTGCAACCTCAATAGCCTAATTTGGAAAAGCAGTGTTGAGAAAAAGAAAACTGAGGGCCAGCCCCGTGGCTTAGCGGTTAAGTGTGCGCACTCTGCTGCTGGCGGCCCCGGTTCGGATCCCGGGCGCGCACCGACGCACCGCTTCTCCGGCCATGCTGAGGCCACGTCCCACATACAGCAACTAGAAGGATGTGCAACTATGACATACAAGTGTCTGCTGGGGCTTTGGGGGAAAAAAATAAATAAATAAAATTATAAAAAAAAAAAAAAAAAAGAAAACTGGTTCCAGAAGCTTGGATTTAATAAATAGTCCCACTGCCAAGCAGGTAGCAAGTCAGAATTGACATTTAGTTAATGAATTCTCATTAGCCTCTTAGCAAAGTTCTGGGGGAGTTAGCTCCTCATATACTGTGACTTTTAATATTTTATACAGATATGATTAATTTTCACAGAATTGAATTGAGGCTTCAAGAGATTGTTAACCAACTGTAAAAAACAAAACAGAACCCTTCTTGCCAGATCAATTCTTTTCATACACACAATTAACCTTAGCTTAGTTGTCCTTATGAAGCAAAACAGGGTAGAAAATATCGTTAACGATTATCTTGGGGCGAGGAAGAGATTAAATCAGTGACCTGTTCTGTTGAGAGTACTTTTTCATGGGTAATATCTATATCCATTCTTACTTTTTCCCCCACCTGTTATCTTTGGACACCTGTGTTTCATAAGTGGTTGGAAATATTATATATGCATGTTTTATTTTAAATGAGTTCAATATAAAGTTACTTTGCACCATTTGTGCCTGTTCACCTTTGCTTTGACATAGATATATAGAGATATTTCCAAGCAGAAGGAATGAAGTGCGAACACATGTTGGTTCTCACAAGGGGAAAAAAATTGCATCTTCTCCTACTGCTAAGTATATAACTGAGCCAGAAGTGGTCTTTGAAGAACAGGAAGTAAATGAGGATATTCAGCCCATGACAGCTTTTGAAAGTGAGAAGGAACTAGGTAAGGACCTGCCTCTTGTTGAGAATCATTGGGTCTATCTTGTATGTTTTCATATTTGTTAAAATATTTTTTTATGACCATATCATATGAAATTGTAACATTGTAAGACAAGGGAATTGACTTAAAGATTTCATATGTCTTTGAGTGTAGTATGTACTTTGAATATATGCAGAAGGGCTTAATTATTTTGTAAGGGTTTTTTTAATTTAATCATTTTTGTAGATTCTATATCAAAAGATGGGTGGCACAAATATAAAGGAAGTAAAATGTCAGCATTTAAACTAAGGTGGGAAAAGATGTGGGTAGAGAGTAGGAATGTTGACTAAAGTAAGGAGTTTTGTTTGCCTCTGTATTTAAGTATTCCTTCGATTCCTAATCCCAAAGCAACATTTGGAATCTTTGAAGTTTGAGAAATCCTTTTTGAACTGGTGCCCTGGGATTATCTTGTTACCATATTTATTCTTTTTTTTTAGTGCCTTTAACCCAGAAAATTTCTCTTGCCTTTATTTTTTTCGTTCATAATTATTTTTCCTTTTCTCTGTTTTTACAGAAAGATATATTCTTTTGTAATCTCGTAATGGTTTGAGGCACTAAATCCTTATGGGTGTTCAGGTGATATTTGTTAGGTGGCAGAAATTTCAGATCATTTTGACTTTTAAAATTAAAGCCCTTCTTCCTTACTGTTTCAAGAGGAATTGAGAATTTTGACATGTATGTCATACCTAATTATAAGCTGTTAATAACTCTTGAAGCTTTTATGTTCTTGACAGTGCTTTTTGTTCCGCTTCTCAGAATTGCCTAAGGAGATGTCAGAAAAGCTTCCAGAGACTGTTGATTTTGGAACTACGTCTTCACTACATTTTGTCCACATGAGAGGATTGCCTTTCCAAGCCAATGCCCAAGATATTATAAACGTGTGTGGCAGTAAGATACCAATCTCAATAGGTTTGAACAAAAGTTCTAACGTTGAACTTCTATTAATTGGGGGAAGGTAGAGAAGAAAATACAGTATTTCTGGAGTATCTTTGGACAGTAAGATGGCATCTCCATGGTTGTGGTGGCTTGTTTTATTTTCTTTAGCTAAAAGTGGGTTTTATTACATTTTGAGGTCAAATGTATAATGGATAAGAGGATTTTATAGATGCAAAATGACATGGTGTGGGTTTAGTAGTCAAAGTAGAAAGTTTGGTTGTTCTCTGAATTGGTTCAGCCCATTCATTTTTGAGTTGAGGAAACTGAGACTCAGAGGGAGTTTGTCACAGAGTGGTTATATGCTTCAAGAATCCAGAACTCCTAAATGCCCAGAGCTTTCATTAGACCTTGTAGCCTTCTTGCATCAGGATTCTGTAATTTTTGAGAAAAAAGAATTTTAAGGATATTTTTATTTTAAAATAGATACTATATGAAATGAAAAGATAAAACAACAAAGCCGTTATTGACTTCATGAACTTGAGGATATATACTTAAGGTAGATGCAAGCTTAGAGTCTTCAGTAGGTAGTGGGGCCTCAGAATTGTCTTCATTATTTCAAAAAGCCTAATAGGAATCATATTTTTACCCAAATGAAGGTTGCACAGTCTCATTAAAGCATTACATTGTGTTGTTTTGCTTTGGAATGATAACTACTCAGTGTGGTAGCTCTATGTAGTGCTTATAAGAAACTGATTATCAGGTACATGTCTGATTAAAAAATGATAAAAATGAATTATTTAAAAATGAATTATTAAGAAATGAAGTGTATGTGATAGTCTTTAGAAACAGAGAAGGATGTGTGTGGGAGAAATAATAAAAGTGGTCCTTGTTGGTATAAAGAAATGTTTGAGAACTATTGGTATAGTATTTATAGTTTAAGTTCTCTGTGAACAGATATTTGAAATGTAACTCTGAGTTCTAAGAAAATCAGAAAAGCCAGAAAAGATGATAGATGTGTAACTACTTTGTTGCTTAAAGAGATTCCCTAAAAACAGATTTATCAGATGTATGAATCAAAGTCTAAAAGAAAAATGCAGAACCACCAGGCTTCTAGAAATGGGCCTAGTACCATTCTGTTTCTTTTGGCTTCCTTTGTTCGTTGTTTAGTTTTTTGCTCCACTGAAGCCTGTTAGAATCACCATGGAATACAGTTCCAGTGGGAAGGCCACTGGAGAAGCTGATGTGCACTTCGATACCCATGAGGATGCTGTTGCAGCCATGCTCAAGGATCGGTCCCATGTTCGTAAGTGCTGCCCATGGTTTTCGTTGTCATTTTTGATGTCTTATCTTTGCTTACAAATGCCTTTCTCTCTTTTAGAGTTTGCCTAGAATTTTTCCATGGGAAAATTGTACTCTATTAATACTATTAAATGTAAAAAGGACAAAACACTATATTATAATGAAAAGCGTTTATTTGCTAGTTATCCTGAATATTTCTCTCCAGAGTTAGGTAGGATTGTTTGTTTGTTTTTAATTAGGGAAAGGAATGGGCAAAGAATTTGAGTTTCTATCTGAACTACCAGAAAAATGGCTACAATATTATTTCTGCCTTTTCATCTTTTTAAAGTGTATCTTTTTTTTTGTCATTCTCAGACCATAGGTATATTGAATTGTTCCTGAATTCGTGTCCAAAAGGAAAATAAGACTTCCAGGGACTCCAGATAATAAGGTAAATTTAAAAGGTTCAGTTGTGGAAATTATTTTCAATTGATAAATTAATCATTAACTCACTAATTTGTAATATGGTGGAAACCATTCTCTTTTTAATAAAGATCAAACTGATCGTGATAATTGAAGCATCAGTATAAGGAATGAAATTCTCCTGGGAAATAGAATGTGTTATGATTGTATAGTGCCTTTGAGTCTTTTTCCCATATAGAATCTTTTGGCTTCATTCCCAACATGCATCGTGCTGTGTGCCTAAAAATAGTTTTTCACCTTTTTGTAGCTATAAATTATAATACACTAAAAATGTGCCTCACATTAGCTTTTCTTCCCATAAAGTTTAAACACATTTCCTCAGTTCTAAGATATTAAGATGTTTAGGATAATAGATATGAAACCAGGGCATATCAGCAATATACACACTGAATGTACTGCTGTTTCTTTTCCTGAAATGGTGTTATGAGAACGGTTGTCCTAGGAAGTACATGATTTCATAGAGTTAACTTACCTGTGACAAATCTAAATATATCTTGGTGTCCTTTCCCTTGACTAAATGTCATGTGGTGTCTTTTTCCCTCCTTAAAATCTTTTAATGTACTGTAATCATTTTTCTGCATGTAGTGGTGCATTCCTTTGAGACATTTAACTGTAATGATTTCTTGAAAACACATGGGGCATTTCTTTACTATAGTTGTCATAGGCTATTTTTGGATATAAAGTCCTACAATCTTGTGATGTTAAATATTTATACTAGCTAAAATCTATGAAAATATATTCTGTGCTCAACTCTGAAAATCTATCTTCCTACTAGGCTGCAAACACTAATGCTTAACTATTTAATTTTCTTCACTTTAACTTAATTGATTTGTCAGATAACTTGTACTAAATCAGAAAGAAAAAAATCACTGATTTTGTAATTTTAAGTGGTATGGGAATATGTGCAGTGCTTTTGAGTAAATGTGCAACATTTTTCGTTTTGTTTTCAGGACGAAGCAAGAAGCATTTCATTTGCACACCTTTCTTGGACATGGGATATAAAGTTCCAGTTTTTTAGCAGCAACTGCTAGAAAAAGGATTTTGGAGTTTGGGCTTAATCGGTTATAAGAGAAATTCCACAGTGGACTGTTTAGAAAGAAAAAGGAAAGATTCAGTTTGGGATTATGAAATAAAACCACAAATTTAAATTTTTGTTTAAACTGTCTAGGATCTGATTTAAAAATCTGGTCTTTATTTTATTTGATTAAACAGTATGTTTTCATATGGGATATGTTACCCATTGTAAAGACTACGTGTTTTTATTTAGCACTGTCCGTTAAAATCTTTCTCCCATTTTAAAAATGATCCGTTTGAGCTTTTGTCTTTTGCCTGTGAATTGAGAGCTCTGATGTAAAACTTCTCATGAAATAAAAACTGATTTATTTTAACCAAATACTCACCAAAGCAAGGAAAGGTTTCAGACCTTTAAACCATTATGGTTTGGCAGAATAGTTTTAATTTTAGGTGTCTTTGATTACTTAGATAGGAGTAGGAATTAAAAAAGAATCAAAACAAAAAATAAATACCACAGGGTAGCGAGTGTCGATGACAACAATTTGGCAGTTTTATGTCTTTAGAAATGTTTTGCCTTTCCAAGCCTTGTGCTAAAGGCATTAACACCTAGTTCCTGTATACTTGAGGGAATTTTAGTCTCAAAAGTCATCTGGACACCCCCCCTTTTTGTGGTTTTGGGTAAACCTTAAGGGTGTTTGTTAATCTCAAAACTGTGAAGTGACATATCAGAACAGTCGCGACTGGTAAGGACATTGATGGCTTCACTTGAATTTAAACCAGCTCTAGATAGGGAAAAATTTGTCTCCTCATTTGCTTTTTCAGTGGGGTAGCACATCCCATATTTTAGAACAAGTAGGGGGTGCCTTGCTTAAATAAAAATAGCATTTAATGTATAATTGTGTGAAAGGTTTATGGATAAAGCTGTACTAATGTCACATTGTGGCAGTACCTTCTGCTTTAATATTAAACAGCTTGTTATTTAAATATTGGATCAAAATGGCTGGCTTCAAAATGTAGTCATTAATAAACTAACTTTATGTGCAGCTATGTAGGAGAATCCAAATCCTGTATACTTTGTTTGCTTTGTTCCTGTTCTCAGGGTGACGACTGCCATGTAGTTACCAGGAGATGCAATTCTAGTTCTTAAAATTGAATTAGCCCAGATTTCTGAGAGGTGATATCTGCAAGAGAGATTATGTCTTCTCTCACTTAATACATAACCATCTTTGATTACCAGCTAAGATACAGAATCACTGTACTGTAAGTAGTCAATAAATGAAGGCTTGTTTCAGGCTGAAGATTACCTAAGAGTATTTATTTTGGAGTGTGTGAATCAACCAAATATATTTTTATTATATCAAGTCCTGGTATATTATTATTAGAAGAAATGGTTAATTTTCAGTTGTGTGTGTTTTTATCATCCTGTAAGAACATGGCTTAATCAACCAGCTTAACATCTTCAGTATTACTACTTAGATGGAAATGTGTTTTCATATATGGTGGAGTGTACCGAGCTATGAGAACTGGTGTCTGTAGCTGTATGATCTATTAGAATGTGATCTTTTCTTTCTAACAATAGCTAGCTAATTTGCTGTGGAAAAAATCTGTAGGGTCTATTGGGATTGGGGTTGGTGAGGAATTCATTCATTTGCAATTACTTTATTTTAAAGCTAATGAGTTGCATTTGCACATCTCTGGGAAAAGAATGAGAGCAAAAGCATTAAAATATTACGTGGTAGGTAAGCTTGAAGGGGTGTATCTTCTTGTTGCACTAGTGGCTGAATTCTCAGTGCAAAAGGTGGCCATTCTTGGGAAGTCATCTTAAGAATTCATATACTTTTCTATACTCCCTTGCCTAGGTTATTGCTCATAATTTAGGCTAGTAAATGAATGATGGCTGACAAGGCAAACGTAGTTACTGGAGGGGAAGAAAAGCACATAATAGAATAAAAGTAATTTCTATCCAATCAAAAGACATATTTCTCCCAAAATTGGACAAAACTGGCTTGTGTATCATCATTTGCTATTGAAAGAAGTAATGACAGAGAATTTCGCTCTTCTATTTGGGTCCTTTGTGTCTTTTTTTTTTTTTTAATTTTTATTTATTTTTTTCCCCCAAAGCCCCAGTAGACAGTTGTATGTCACAGCTGCACATCCTTCCAGTTGCTGCATGGGGGACACGGCCCCAGCGTGGCCGGACAAGTGGTGCGTCCGTGCACACTCGGGATCCGAACCCGGGCCGCCAGCAGCGGAGCGCGCGCACTTAACCGCCAAGCCACGGGCCGGCCCCCTTTGTGTCTTTATAATCTCCTTTGTGGTAAAGCTATCAAAAATAGTGGGATTGGATATGGCCAGGTTACCCATATCCTGCTTTGGCTAGCTACTTCTCAAGCAATTGCAAGGAAGAACTCTGATAAGTAGCATGTAGATACCAAGGAGGAGATTGCTAAGGATTGCGATCGGATCTGCTATACTGACTGATATCAGAGAACAAAGCAGAACCAGAGTGTTTGTCCCTCTGTGCCTGGGTGAATGAGGTTTCTGCCAGGTGAGAAGGGAGACTGAGTCCACTATGGAGTGGAAGGCTTTAAATTCTCACTACTGCAGTGTGGAGAGGAGGAAGCAGGAGAAAGCCACTTCCATCTACCTGACATTATGAGGCAATGACCCTGCTTATTAGTTAACATGCTCTTTTGGCATCCTCTGCCCTACACAGCCCCTTAGCAGATTCTCATTTGGAGATTTTTCTCTGGGTTACATCCTATTCATTTTATAATTTAAAACATTGCATTGTTTTGAGAGTTTCCCCTAAATTATGTGAACGTGTTCCCATGCAGTTGGTAGTGCCTGTATTATAATAGAGCAGAATGGTATTTCTCAGCAGTAAAGTAGAGGCAGGCCTAAGTTCCAGGGGCTTTGAAAAAAAATTGCTCTAATGTAATGGGAATACATGTCCTCCCTGAATTCAGCAGATAAGAGAATAATCTCTGAAGTTTGTAGGAATGGAATAAAGCTGCTATAAACATCCATGTGTAGGTTTTTGTGTGTACATAAGATTTTAGCTCATTTGGGTAAATACCAAGTAACACGATTGCTGGATCATATGGTAAGGCTATGTTTAGTTTTGTAAGTAACTGCCAAACTGTCTTCCAAGGTGGCTGTACCATTTTGCATTCCCTCCAGCAGTGAATGAGTTCCCATAGCAACTCATCCTTGCCAACATTTGGTGTGTCACTGTTTTGAATTTGAGCTATTCTCCTAGGTGTGTAGTGGTATCTCATTTTAATTTGCAATTCCATAACGACATGAGAGGTTGAGCATCTTTTTATGTATTTATTTGCATCTGCCTGTTGTCTTTGGTGAGGTATCTGTTCAGATCTTTTGCCCAGTTTTTTATTTGGGTGGTTTTCTTATTGGATTTTAGGAAGGGGATATAGGAAGGTTTAGTTTGGTTCTTAAGCCTTGATGATATGAAAATAAACAGTGGGGTAATTTTTAAATTGTTTATATTTTATTTTTTTAAGAAAATAAAATTCAAGAGATACGAAGGGTATATAGTAAACAGTCTCCCTCCCATCCTGTATTTCAGCCACTAGTTCCCCTTTTCAGGCAACTCTGTCATCAGTTTCTAATGGAAATTTCTAGTGATGTTTACTGTATAGATAAGCAAATAGTAATAGACATTTTCATTTATTTTAAAAATGTAAATTACAGCATACTGTACATACTGTTCTGTACCTTTTTTTCCATTTACTGCATCCTAAAAATCATTTTATATCAGTGTATAAAACCCTTTTTCAGTTTTTAAAATAATTGTACAGTATGGATATACAGTATGTCCCTTACTGATGAACATGTAAATTGTTTCCATTCTTTTGCTATTATAATGCTGAAATGCATTACGTTGTATAAATTTATGTCATTTTGTACATACATAAATTTTTCTGTAGGGTAAATGGTCAGAGTATGTGCACTTGTAATTTATATCTAAAATTAAATTTCTATACTTTTTTCTTAACTTGCACCAGCAATGCAAGTGCCCATTTCCCCATAGCCTCACTAACATAGTCTATTAGCTTCTATTCTTTGCCAATCTAACAGGTTAAAAAAACACCACAGTGGTATTCTCGTAAGAGGTAGCACTTCTTCATGTTTAAGAGCTTTTGGATTTCCTTGTCCGTGAATTGTCTTCATGTCCTCTCCTCATTTTTCTTTTTCTCTTATGATCCCCATCTACTTACTCTTTCATATTAATTTTAAAGCAAATCCAAGACATAGTATCATTTTATCTGTATATATTTCGATATACATCTCTTTTAAAAGAGATATTTAAAAAAATACCATCATTCCTAAAAATACTAAATCACCAAAGATGTGTCTGAAATGTCATTAAAAAAAAAAAAGTTTATTTGAATCAGGGTCTAAACTACAGTCCACACATTGCAGTTGGTTACTGTGCCTCTTTTTCCCCTGCAACATTTAATAAAAAAACTTCAAGCATACAGAAGTTGAATTATAAACATGCCTAAACCTACCACCTAGATTCTACAAGGTATATTTTTCTGTATTTCCTTTTATGTACCTATGCATCCATCCATCTATCTTTTTTCTTGATGTGTGTCAAAGTTGTAGACATCTATACTTGACTCTTAAGCTTTTTGGCATACATATCGTTAAGAGTTTTTTTCTTGAGGTAGAACTTACAGTGAAGTGAACACATGTTAAGTGTACCATTTGATGAGTTTTGATGTACAAGTGTGTAACCCAAATCCCTGTGGAACATTTCCATCACATCAGAAATTTTTTTTACCCGGTCCTTGCATCTCTCCTATCCCTTGTTAGAATTTTGTTTTCACCATAGATTAGTTTGGCCTATTCTAGAACTTTATATGAATGGAATCATACAGTATGTATGCTTGTGTGAATTTCTTTCAGCACGTTTTGAGATTCATTGATGTGTTTCAGCTCTTTGTTCCTTTTCATTGCTGAGTAGTAGTCCATTGTATGAATATGCCACAGTTTGTTTAACCTTTCACTTGTTAGGTGAACAACTGATGGACAATGGGCTGTTATGAATAAAGTTGCTATGAACATCTTGTGTAAGCCTTTTTGTGGACCCATGTTTTAATTTCTCTTGGGTAAGTACTTAGAATATCCTGAGTTGTAAGGTTGATATGTTTTTCATTTTACTAGAAATTGACATACCTTTTTCCGAAGTGGTCATCCCATTTTACACACCCACAAACAATATGAGAGTTCCAGTAGGTCTGCGTCCTCACCGTTTGTTGTTGTCAGCCTGTAATCTTAGCCATTCTGTGTGTAGTGGTATCTCATTGTGGTTTCAATTTGCTTTCCCTGACAATCGACGTTGAGCATTTTTTCAGAAGTTTATTGGCCATTCAAATACCTTCTTTAGTGAACCTGAAGTTCCTTTTTCTTATTTCTTTTAATGTTTCCCCTTCCATTTCTTTTTCCTTTTTTATTTGTTGAAGAAATAAGATTAACCTGTAGAGGTTTCCACAATCTGAATTTTGTTGATTGCCTTTCTGTGATGTTTATTGACCACTTTTCTATTGTGTTTGGTCTTTTTCTTAATTAGCAGGAGCCGTTTATTCTTGCAATGAGCTAGCTTTAAATACCCTTCCCCCCCAGTTTGTCACTTTGCTTATCACGGCAGAAATTATTTTTATATGGTGGAATTCTTAAATCTCCCCTTTTATTAAGTTTTGCAGAATTAGGACATCCCAGTGAAATGATTTTGGAAGCACCTGGTGATAAGGCATGAAGGTGTGTAGCGAAGGTAGACTCTAGAATATGGATGGACTCAGTGAATCCCACAAGGATCACCAAGATACATTTAAGAATAACCTTTTCAAATGATCCAGACTAAATTTGAACCCTACAAGTATATTCAGACTTGTGATCCCAAAACATACCTGGGTTCTAACTGAAATAAAGAGGCTCTTAACCTTTCTTTCTGCCACTTGATAATGACATTTGGGAATAAAAACCAAGAGCTAAAGAGAAACTGAGTTATTCACAATTTCTGATAGGCTTGCTGTAATTCCATCCATTTCTTGCTGCCTCGAGGCAAATGAAGAAATACAAGTGATAATATTGGGCTAATTTTTAACCTGCTTGAATTTACAAGAATAAATTATTTGTGATGGACTTTATAATGGAATGTGAATGATACTGTTGTGCCAGACAGCAGCACCCCAACATGGTAAGGCAGTACTGCCGCCTGGAGCTTTTCTACTTGACCTGCCCATTGGAGACCTGCGTTACCTCTCTTTACCAAAC